TTATGCTGGAGGAGGTGTAGGGCGATACCTAGCAAATCGCGACTGAGCTGGCTCCACACCCGCGTCACAACACGGGCCCTCTTCTCTCTTTTGAGGCAGATGGATGCCGAATAAGCAAATATTATTCAGTCTAATTTTTTGTTTTATATTTTGCAAAACAATGAAATGGAAAGAAAAAGACATGACGTTAATCTTTCGAGGCACTTGTCATTGATTCGGCTCTCTCAAAATATCGAGATCACCAACATTCTTTCTCGATTATTGACCGCAATGGCATCTCTTGGTCAGACATGATCATGGATACCGGTAGTTTTCATTTTGTTTTGATCTTGGACTTTTTTTCTAGTGCTCGATTCACAGTCCAGCACACAGCCCAATTTGCACATCGGAGAATATGGTTGAGATGCATTCGTATGACTTGTATATCAAAGTCTAGTCACAAATGCCGCCTGAGATATGCGGAGCACCTGAAGCCCTTTTGCCCTTAAGATTATGTATGCAATGTTTCTTTGAATGCCCAAGTACGTAGACAGAAACGAAGGTGGAATTTTAGATGCATGTCAAACCATGCAGGCACGATAATAACTCCATCACATGCGCGTTGGACGTAGTAACCGCAACCTGGTGGTATACCAGGTAGCCTCGAGAGTGAAATCTAAAGGCAGCAATACCGAGCCAGCAGCAGTGGCCTCTTCAAAAGTGCTTTTCCCATTCTCTGCACACGTGCCTAATGCCTATGTGCTGTGTACCTAGTCTAGTACGTATTATTACCTACTGAATCTGGAATTTTCTTCTGGAGGCAGAGACCAAGTATAAGTGGGCGGCCGCCGTTGTTACCCGCTATGGCATCCGCCCAACATGTCCAAGGGGAGATCCAAAAAAGACAACGCGCCACCCGCCCAGCACACCCCTGCCCCATCTATCAAAGGACAATATGTACATAGATAGTACGTGGTGTACTACACAGATTGCCGAATCCGTCATGCAGATGAAGCTATCCCCAATCTCCGCTCTCCCGTAACTGCCGGCCCGAGCACTTAGGCACTCACTTACCCCAGATTGGTCTTCCCCGGATTGCCATGGGAGCCGCCTACCTACGTACCTAGGCCCATCGAGCCTATTTGGCACTTTGGGACCTTGCATGAGCCTTATTCTGCATGGGACTATGATATATCCATGAATTCTGGGTCATAAAAGCCACCAAGTGGTCTACCGACCTCAAATAATACTATAATCAAGTCATAATATGATTCAATACCTTTAGTGGGACCAACTTGAATGGTTCGACACCAAAGTAAGCCTTCTAGATCGACCTCTCCAGGTCCTATTCACGACTTTGTACTAACTCAAAGTACAAAAGGGAGAAAAGGAGAAAAAAAGTAAAACAAATATGCTATACATACAAGTCAGGATTATTTAACATGACCTCCCTGAGTCATAATACCATTTCATCATGACCCAAGTATATCATTCGATATTGGAATCTGGTTGACATAGGACGTCCTTGAGATTCCAAACAAATCATAAACGAACCGACTGACCTGACCGTGGTCAGAGACGTCAAACCTTTTCGATTCCAATCAGTCCTGCCTGACAAGACAAGAACATGCAACTCAGCCCAAAAAAGGGGGGGTGCAAAAATCGGGAGAAAAAATCTGCCTCAATTCAATGAGCCGCGATGCTATTGCATCCCCCTAAGACTCTCTATGAACGAGGCAACAGGGCAAATGGGTGACTTTGGATGACTTGCGACATCATATGAGTCAGGTAAGACCAGAGAACTCGACCATGTTCGATCTGGGATGGTGAAATCAGTAAACCCCCCATGGGCCTAAGCAAAGCCGAAGACGCGTCGAGTGATTTCGCAGAGACAAACAAACCTGATGCGAAGGGGAATCAGGGGGGGTTCGAAAGTCTGAGAGAGCGAGGGGGAAAAAAAAAATCGAGCAGGCCAGGAATCAACGCAGAAGAAGTGGGCGCCTGTCCTAGCTAATATATTATTCGAACCAAAACAAATCACTGCGAGTCGCGACAGAGCTAACAGTTAAAAATATGGACCTCTTGGCTGCGGGGCCATATCCAAGGATAAAATAAAATTTCTGATTGGCTGAGAGTATTCTCGACATCCTGCTTGTGCAGGTACGTACCTGCAGCCTTGCATTTCAGTTTCCATATTGATGATAAGCCTTGACCTGTGTGCATCACGTTGCAATTTATGTATGAAGGCAACAACAACAAGGCAAGGAATGCACAAAAGAAAACAATAGATTCGATGCATGTATTCATTGGCATGAGAAGCTATTAGTGAGTGATGAATGTGTAAACCAGATTTACTGCACAAGAAATCAAACTTGGTAATATTACTGCTATCTGGCTTGCATCTCTAATAATTATGGTGTTTCTTGTTGTTTTGTGTTTTGATGCCACACCAGGCGCACGCGCATTTGCCCAGCCCGTTTTGGCTTAAGGTAGTCAAGGCTTAATAAGGAGAATTGCACGTTTTTTTTTTTAATTGTTCTTGCTGCAAGAAAAAACCCCGATACCTGTAAAGTGGCTCCCACGCGTTGCACCTTGGCTCCAACTTTGAAGCTCCTAGGCATTGCGCAAAAGCGCGGGCGCGCATATCACAGGGCAGATAGATAGAGAGGGAGGGAGGGGCTTGGGGCTAGAGCAGAAATTCCCAAATCGCCCCCAGAGCCAAATCAGGCTTAGCCCCGCCTGCGTCCCCAAATCAGTGAATCTTGCGGCAGCTTGACGCGACTAGTACATAAGCTCCCATCCCCCACTACCATCACCAATCTCTCTCCCCTTCATCATTCATCCCAATTCCAAACGCCTTTTCACAGCAAACCACCACCGCTACCGCTTTCGAGCATCATCTACTGACAAGTCACTTTGACTTTTGATATTCACTCCATTTTTACCAACTCACCCCCAAAAACTTCTTTCAAAATGACTGGAGGCGGCAAGTCCGGCGGCAAGGCCAGCGGTTCCAAGAACGCTCAATCGTAAGTCGCGCGCAGCTCGGTTCATCACTTCATGACGCGTCACATTTCACATACCTATCAATCATTGGACCCGCCCCTTTTATCTCTTTCAGTCGCGCGCTCTTTTCCCTCAACCGGTAGAGAACAATGAACACGAGGCTAATCCATCTCTACCAACAGCCGATCCAGCAAGGCTGGTCTCGCCTTCCCCGTTGGTCGTGTCCACCGTCTGCTCCGCAAGGGCAACTACGCTCAGCGTGTCGGTGCCGGTGCTCCCGTCTACCTCGCCGCTGTTCTCGAGTACCTCGCCGCCGAGATTCTCGAGTTGGCTGGTAACGCTGCCCGTGACAACAAGAAGACCCGTATCATCCCCAGACATCTTCAGCTGGCCATCAGAAACGATGAGGAGTTGAACAAGCTGCTCGGACACGTCACCATCGCACAAGGTGGTGTCCTGCCCAACATTCACCAGAGTAAGTTCCTGCCTAGAATCATGTTCTTTACTGGCTGCATTATGCTAACTTCAGTCTCTTTTCAGACCTTCTGCCCAAGAAGACCGGCAAGCCTGGCAAGAACGCTGGTTCTCAGGAGTTGTAGATGGTTTTCGCTTGCATTTGATATTTCTGGTTGTTCGGCACGTCTTTATGATCAAGGGGTCACGGTTGGGCATGGTTTGCTTTACACTACACGCGAATTGCGATTGGGTTGTACATTACACATAATCCGCCCATGGTTAAGGGACATGGATATGAATGAGAACTTCTGAACAAACAACAAAATAATTTCCACTACACTTTCCTACCATTAATTGTGACAAAATTGCATGGTGATGTATAGACCATTCGGATGCTGTGCTCTACTCTTTTTTCTTTTTTTATTGTAGGCGCTTGTATTACACTGAATCTGCGGCGGCTCTGGTGGCACTTGACACTTGCACATGCATCTTACATTTTGGATTTCAATCCAAGAGCAAGATAATAAACTCACCTTCATACATTATATACAAGTAGCTTGCGAAATGAAATGAAATGAAATGTGAGTTTGTTTAAGGAGGATATGCTGCCAGGACTTGGTCCCATGTGCAAATACGGACATGGCCATGTATTCAGGAAGAAAGAGTCTTGGCCAGCGCTGAGCAGAATCCAGACTTGGTGCTTTAGGGAGATTCGGTCTTTGCAAGCTACCAAGGCCCTGAGGATGATACCAGCTGTCCAAGAGGAATGCTCCTCAGTGAACTTCATTTCCAAGCTATGCAATTCAAGGGAACATTCTTGTAATATATATGGCACATGCATGGCTCGGTCTGAGACTGGAGCTTTGCAACTTTTTCTTCTTGTTTCCCCAATGGATGATCTCTTCTATGCTCAGATTACAGATTCTATGTACACTCAAACACCGCCCAGTTTTCAAAATGTGGCGTTTAGAACTTGAGATCCGGAGGAGCTGCACATGAAGAGAGTCAGTAGAGTGGCAACATTTTGGATGAATGGTGGTGCATGGAGGACTGACCTGCTGTCGTATGTGCCGGTAGGTTTCTTTCGTACTTGGATCCTGCAGGCGCGGTATGGTCAGAACTAATTGTTTCTTCTCAAAGCCAAACAATGCATGATCGTGGAAGCTTGCGGGCGACATCGACATACCTCCTGGTGCCGTCGGGTGACAGTAGGGATCTGGGTGCTTCCATGTTTCGAGAAGCTTCTCGGTCTCGCTCAGTAATGCCTAGAGAGCCAAGGGGCAAACCCCCAGGTAGTCAGCATTCTGTCTCGATCTTGCACACTTTGCTGGCTCATGCCAACGACGACATGGAATCCGTCCAAGGACAGAGGTGAGAGGGAAAGAGTGAGAGATGGCAATGGTAGCGCATACATACTCTTTGCTTGCGGGGGTCTGTAATGCTTCGGTTCGCCTCAAAGAGAGATCGGATATAGAGTGCCTGGCCACGCCATAGATGCCGGTGCACAGCCCAGTCGAGCGACAGCTTCAGCGAGCGTCGGTATAACGACCTAGAGCGAGCGTTGGTTAGAGCGGGATCTGGGCAATAATCAATGAGACCAATTGGAGTGAAATAGTCTCTCACAATGCAGCCTGTCGTGTCGACATGATCGATGATTCAGCCGTTCGTTGTCGTCGTCGGCGTCACGGGCCTCTTGGGATTCAATATGTCCTCGTGCGGAGGGCGAGCAAGAGCTGGGTACGCGTTGTCCGAACCAGCTGGATCACGATGAGAACCTGGGGCGTCGGGATCAATTGAGGACCAGTCGCTGGATGGAAGGGGGGCCAATGGGAGGTCGGATAGAGCGGCGAGAAGGGGCTTCGCGGTCGTGGTGGATATTGGCAGGCCAATGCTACTCGCGATGGTCGCTTGGTATATCGCAACTGCGGCTCTTCTTGCTGCCAAAGCGAATTCAAGGTCCTCAATGGTGGTGGTGGTGGTGGTGCTTGGAGATTCTGCAGGTCCGAGTGTCTTTTGGCCTGAGGCATCTACCACTAAAAGCTGGGGACTGGTAAGGGAAAAGAGCTTTGATGACTTCAAGCCGTCGGTGATTTGCTGCACTGTCTCCGCTCGTAGTGGCTTTTGGGTAACGCGAGTGAGTAGGGTGGAAAGATCTGCAGCTGGAAAGCTACTAGTCGCAGCTGCCGTCGACCTGGCAGAATAGTAGGACAGACATGCTTGATTTCTGTACGTATCAGAGACTGTCAAATCAAGCTGGAGATCAACTGATCGAGTTCACATGTGCAACTCCATGCATGATTACTCTCCGTGTCTCTATAGGCTAGTTATCTACAAAATCGATGAATGATTTAGTGCAGAGCGTGAAGACGTCATTTCTCATGCTTGTACTTCGTAGCAAATTCCTACATTTTCCCGTGAGGTTTTGATGCGCATATCCATGGGATGGAGGGCTATCTCTTTCATCTACTTGACGTTCCTCTCTATCCAACGGTTGGCTTGCCAAGTACTTCTACACATGGTCTTTTATAGAAAGAATCAATCGCAAAATGCACATAGATAACAAGTGTTCCATCCGTGTACATATCGATGAATGCACATACGTACGTCAAACTGTCCCGATGGTAAGGATGGCTCTAAAGATATGCCCATGGTACGTACCTGAGCAGTCAGGTACCGATTTCACCCGCTACATTTTGCGCTTTGCCGGCCTAGCGCCTCATGACAGGGCCAGTCGGGCCACTAGATGACACTTGATTTCACGGTTTTCTTTGGGTCTCTGGGTGCTTGCGGCGCTGGACGTGCCGGAAAATACTGGAGACATGCCCAAAACGAGCTCCCTCTTTGGCTGCCGCGTCAATGTTGCAGGGCCGCTTCGCCCGAGCAGACAGGGGGAGGGAGAGAACATTGAAGCTTCAGTGGCTCGCTGGTTCCCTAGCTAGGTACTGCAGGCTCAGTGCTGGCTGGACTGTACCCGACGCTCCAGTCGAGTAGGTACCGTTACGCACGTACATAGGACCTGTTAGCTGTACCAGCAGAGGTCATCGCGAGAAATCCTGCATTGAGCCGAGATCAGACTCGCGCACCCGTGACTTCCCCCTCGTGTTGTTGTCCTCCTCTTAATTTTTTCTTTGGGTTTTTCCTCTCGCTTTCCTCCCTTCAATCTTCCGAGGCAATCACCCAAATCATCTTTGCGCCAGGCGACAAACCGTCCTTGTCTTGTTCCGCCCATTGTTGCATCTAGGGTGTGGTGTACATTCTGTACCTAGTTAGAACCGGCATCCATTTCTCCTTGAAAGTCGCTTCGTCCGAAAATTTAGTGCCGCTTTGAGCTCGCCGCCCTGCCCGATCCAATATTTACACCCGTACCAGCCTCGCGGCCCTGTCGTCCTCCAACTGTACTCTACAGCTCTCTAGTCACTCGACGGTCTTTTCAGTCTCAAGGACAAAAGAAATCCCAAAGAAATCATGTTTTCCAGGAGGTTAGCAACCGCCGCGCGTGTCGTGCAGCTGCGCAGGCCGCTGCAACCCATGCGCGGCATGCCTCTGCCCGCCCTCATGAACCAAGTGCGAACCTATGCCGACACCATCGTCAAAGTCCCGCAAATGGCCGAGTCGATCTCTGAGGGCACCCTGAAGCAATGGAACAAGCAGGTTGGCGACTATGTCGAGCAGGATGAAGAGATTGCCACCATTGAAACTGACAAGGTAAGAATCGCGAAGCTGTTGTTGTAGAATCAGGAGAAAAATCAAAAGAGGAAGAGAGGATTCAGGAAATAGTATGCAGAGGAGTAGAAGGCTGCCTTTGCTGACAAGATTCTCCTATTCCTGTTTCTCTACGGTCGTGCTCTTAGCTAACCGTGTAACTATATAGATCGATGTCGCCGTCAACGCCCCTGAGGCCGGTACCATCAAGGAGCTCCTCGCTAGTGAGGAGGACACCGTTACCGTCGGCCAAGATATCGCCAAGATCGAAGCTGGCGGCGCACCTCCAGAGGGTGGCAACAAGGCGTCCAAGCAAGAGGAGGCTTCTACCGATGCTAAGCCTGCCGAGCCCAAGGAAGAGAAGAAGACCGAACCCAAGCAGGAGTCAAAACCAGAGTCCAAGCCCGAACCTTCGAAGCCTGCCTCCAAGCCGGAGCCCAAGAAGGAGACATCTTCGCAGTCCGCCAAGGAGACCTCTGGACCCGTCCTGGGTAGCCGAGAGGAACGTCGTGTATGCGCCCTGCTCGCTGGTGGTGTAGAGTGAAGCAATCATGGAATGCTAATTTTGCCGTTTTACCACAACAGGTCAAGATGAACCGCATGCGTCTCCGAATTGCCGAGCGCCTCAAGCAGTCTCAGAACACGGCCGCCTCTCTGACCACCTTCAACGAGGTCGACATGTCCTCGCTGATGGAATTCCGCAAGCTCTACAAGGATGATGTTCTGAAGAAGACTGGCGTCAAACTGGGCTTCATGAGTGCATTCGCCCGTGCCTCTGTCCTGGCCATGCGTGATATTCCCGTTGTCAACGCCTCGATTGAGGGTGAGAATGGTGGCGACACCATTGTTTACAGGGACTACGTTGACCTGAGTGTCGCCGTTGCCACTGAGAAGGGTCTTGTCACCCCCATTGTCCGCAACGTCGAGGGCATGGACTTGGTTTCCATCGAGAAGTCCATCGCCGATCTTGGCAAGAAGGTATGTTTCCCTCTTGATCTTGTATTAGCCATATTTGGAGCAACAGCTCATTGCTTACACCCTTGGTGACAGGCTCGTGACGGCAAGCTCACCATTGAGGATATGGCTGGTGGTACTTTCACCATCAGCAACGGAGGCGTTTTCGGTTCGCTCATGGGCACCCCCATTATCAACCTGCCTCAGAGTGCTGTGCTCGGTCTTCACGCCATCAAGGACAAGCCCGTTGCAGTGAATGGCAAGATTGAGATCCGCCCCATGATGTACCTTGCATTGACCTACGACCACCGTCTGCTGGACGGACGGGAAGCTGTGCAGTTCCTGGTCAAGATCAAGGAGTACATTGAGGATCCCAGACGTATGCTGTTGTAATTTATTTAGTCTTCTTCCAGTAGCCGTGTTGCAGCTCTCGTCTTGAAATATATGGACTTGGGCGCTGGTAAG